TTTTGTTAATTTCTGTTACACTTGTAATGAAGAGGCTCTTCCGTATGAATTTTTTTTCAAAGTGTCCAATGTTGATAAGGTGATTGAAAAAGGGAAAAAGAAGGCCACAAAGTTCCGAAATATCAAACTGCATAGGGTTAGCGACAATCCTTTGCCTACTGAAAAGTTCACTGCCTCAAACTGGCCCTCAATTGGTGGAGATACTTTGAAAGCCTTAGCTGGGAAAGTCTCGGCAGATTATGACTTTATAGAGACCGTTGAAGATGATTCTCTAGAAAAAAGTAGTCAAGATGATACAACTGTTGAATCAGACACATCTGCTTTTGGAATAGCATTTGATCCGTTTGGAGGGAGTGAAAGTGGAAAGGAGGCATGCCATGCAATTGCTTCATTATGTCAAGTTTGCTCTATTGATTCCTTAATATCAGAATTTATACTTCCTTTACCGGTATACTTTTTCTTTTGAAACAATGTTCCCAAGGTTTTGAGCTACTTAATTCGTTCCATTAGCTTATCCTTATAGATTACTTCGGTTTCCTCTCTGCAGGGAAGTAATGTGTCAGGCAAAGATAGTCGTGTCCACTGCTCCCTGAATATTAACACCGCAACTGTGCACCTATCAGCTAGAGGGCCAAATTTGCGGGTACATGGCGTGAACTTAACCTAAGACAAAGCTAATGCCAACCATTTTTGATGATCTTGATCGCCGTACTTTTCTCTACAATCTTATTATTCCAATTGTGAACAAGGTTAGTAAAATCCCTCCCTTGTTTCCTTCTAAATTATGAGTACTGTGATCTTCCTTGATGATGTTTGGTTAATCACATATCCACTTACAGAAGAAAGAGATATTGTCATACCAATAATGGCTATGGAGTTTTGTAGAAATATGGTTATGGAGGACACATGTATGAGTTTATTTGGTCTGTTATGAAGCTGTAAATTCTGATTCAGACTGGAATATTTTGAGTTCGAGGGTGGTGTTATAACACGGAAGCTGGTGATTGATTCTTGCTGGTGTTTGGACTAGAAAAGCGTTGGTCCAAACTCACATAGCCTAAAACCACTTATGATATTGCGGACTGATAACCAATTGTTTTTGTTTTGGTTTTGTCAGACTTGAAATGAGTATT